CATCCCCGTCCAGCGTCACGGTAACGTGCGTCCACACGCCGGACGGCATCGCGGCGGTCTCGAGCACCTGCTCGGCGCCGTTGCCGCTGGTCGTGATGGCGAACCGCATGGAGGTCCCGCCACCCGCGGACGGGGTTAGGAACATGTACTCGCTGGTGTTGTTGCCGAAATCGAACACGCGCTGCCACGCGCCGCCACCGTCCCAGTAAACCCATGCCGCGACCGTGATGTCCTCGTGACTGGCAACGCCCGCCGGCAGCGTGACGTGGTCGTCGGCGCCGTCCAGGATGATGGCTAGCCCCTCCACCCCAGCCGTGTACGCAGGGCCGCCGGCGGTATGGGCGTCGTTCCCCTGTCCGCTGTCGGTGGCGTCGCCGTCGAACGCGTAGTGCGCGATCAGCAGCTGCTCGTCGGGTTCGGGTAGGACCTCCTGCCCCTCGGGAGTAACGACGCCATAATGGGAACGCCAGATCGCATAGTCCGCCGCGTCGACCACGCCGTTGGAGTCGCCGTCGGCCCCCTCTCCCGGCGTCGACACGCCCCCCGGCTGGGCGTCACGCCACACCGTGTAGTCGGCCGCGTCAACGCGTCCGTCACGGTTATAGTCGCCCGGGTCGTGGTCGGGCTCGGCCGCGGCGGCTGGGGTGTAGCCCGCGCCCAGAACCTGGCGGACGTCGAACAGAATCTCTCCAGAGGTCCGTGCATCCGAGTAGACCAGGAAGTTGTCCATCGCGCCCCGGAACCCGCTGTTTGCGGCGAGCCCCCGGCCGAGCAACGCCGATGTCGCGCGGATCTGATAGGGGTCCATTACGGCCGACGTCTTGGCCGCGACCGCCGAGCCGTTGACGTACAACGTGACGGTGTCGTCCTCGAACGTGACCGCAACATGCTGCCACACGCCCGCGGCAAGCGGCTGGACGGAGTATAATGTGCGCACCACGCCGTCCACCGCGATCTCAAACTTTACGCCGCCCTGGCGGGACGTCGGCTGCAGGTACAGGTAGTTGTCATCGTCTTGGACGAACTCGTAAAGTTTCTGATCGATGTCGCCGGCGCCGTCCCAGCGGGCCCAAAGCTGGATGGTTTCGTCGCGGAGCGCGACCAGTTCGCTCGACAGTTCGACGTATTGCTCGTCGCTGCCAAAGCCCAGCACACCTGAGAGCCCGACGGCTCCGGACGAGAAGGACCAGTCGGCCGGCGTGTCGCTCATCCAGCCGTAGGTTGTGTTGAAGTCGTCCCACACGGCGTTGTCGTCGCGGGAGTCAAACGTGTAGCGGGCGAACAAGTTGTTGTACTGGGTCGTCATGAGGGGGACCTCCTGCGACGACGGCTCGCCGTTGTACTGCACGCCGCGGTCGGTCACCAACCCTGCGCCTGCCGCCAGCCCGGAGGACATTACCATCGCGTTGCCCTGCATGTCGGCGTTGTCAACCACCCCGTAACCCTTCACGACCGACTGTCCGGCGACGACGGTGTTGCCCCCGATGATCGTCGCGTAGTCGGTCACCAGGGCCTGCCCCCGCACCTGCCCACCCGACACCAGCGCGTCGCCGGTGACACGCGCCTCGCCGGAGATCGCACCGCCGGCGATGACCGCGTAGTCGCCAACACTCGCGTTGTCGCGGACGCTGCCCCCGGAGACGGTTGCGTGGCCGTAAACGACCGCGTTGCCGACCACGACGCCGCCGGTGATCGTTGCGTAGTCCTCGATGCGGGCGTTCTCGCGCAGCAGCCCACCGGTCACCCAGACATTTGGGCCCAGGTACACGGTTGGCGCCACCGACACGGTCTTCCACCCGCCGGTGGACCCGTCCGGATTAATATGTCGGACGGCGTTTCCGCTCGGCGCGGGCCGTCCGGCCGACTCCTCAGACCGCGCGGGCGTCGCGCCCACAATCGCGACTCGGTACGGGAACCGTTCGATCCCCTCGCTAATGTTGCCCGCCGGATGGAACGGGTGCGACCAGATATAGCCTTCGTGGACCGAGGGGATGGCCGTCACGGTGAGGTACAGATCGGTTTCGTCAGCTTGCAGCGTGAACGTCGTCTTGCCGCCTTGCCAGGAATCGCTGAAACGCTCTTGGATCGCCGCGCCCGTTCCCTTGATAGCCACCAGAGTCGCGTAGAGCCCGCTGGATTGGCCCGGCTGCACATAGCCGTCCAGGTCAACCTCCACCACGTGCGGCTGACCCGGGATCCGATCCACGGGCGTCAGCTGGATAAGGTTCGATCCGTATTGTTCGGGCGTGTCCTGCTCCGGGACCTGATGCCAGCCCGGGCTTGAAGCCACCGGCTCGAGGTAGGTGCGGAACAACCGCTGGGAGGTGTCGTGCGAGGGGATCGACGGCAAACCCGACAGCAGGTCGCCGCCGTACAAGGCTTTGTAGGTGACACTGCTGGCGACGTACTCCGCGTACACCCGCGCGAACTCCTCGTCCGATGCGAAGTTGTTGCGCAGCACCTGCCATGGGTCCTTGCCGGGCCCCTGCGCGTCGGGGTCCGACCACAATCCCGATAGGACGAATTGTGCGCCGTACCCGGGCAGCTCGGTCAGGTAGTTCAGGAAGGGGTGGGCTTGGTAGCGGAAGTCGGTCGCCATCGAGTAGCGGTGCCTACGCTCACCGTAGCGGCCGTTGATCGAACTGCGAGCGGTAATCTCCGCTCGATAGGCGCCGCTGTCGAAGTGGTCGACCAGCGACGCCCCGAAGTTGGCGTGAGCCTCGTAAAACGGCCCCGAGTAGTCGCTGGCGCCGAAACCGCCCGACTCGCTCTGCAGCACGTGCGTGAACTCGTGCGGCGTGGTGGTGGTGTTGGCTACCTGTCCCCACGGAGCGACGTACGTGCTGCGCGGGCTCTGCGACTGGGCCAACGCCCAAGGCGACACGTACAACGCCGAGAAACCGGTTGGGTCGGGCCCGGCAAAGGCGCCGGAGAATGTCCCGCCACTGCTATCTACCCACCAGAGCCCGGTGTCGAGGATGTAGGCGTTGATCTTGTAATTGACCCCGTCGCGTGCGGAGGGAGGCGCCATGCCGGACTGTTCGACGATAATGTCCCAGGCCATCTCCAGCCGATTCAGGTTCTGCTGGATGTAGGTCGAAACCGGCTGCATAGCGCTGGGCAGGTCCGCCCCCCACTTGAACACAAAGTGCTCGCTGGCCAGCTGGCCGGCGAATCGGAAGCGGCCGATCACCGCCGCCCGGCCGGAGTCGCGGATCAGCCACTCCTCTTCACCGATGTCGGGGGCGGTCGCCTCGTAGATCTCGGTCACGTCGGCCGCCGTGAGCGGCTCGTTGTACAGCCGCGCCTCGTCCAGGTAGCCGGCGAATCCGCGGTTGTTGCTGCTGTTGGGCGAGTTGTTGCTCACCACCGAACTGCCGCCCGTGCCCAACAGGAAACGCGTCGTCCCATCGGTTCGGCCGAACGCAATCGAGGAACCGCTGGCCACCGTGGCGCTGTTGGCGGCCCCAAACTGCACACCGTCGAGGTAAGCGGTCATGCCGCCGGACTGCGGCGTGCTGGCGGGGCTCGTCGAGAGCACGACGTGGTGCCAGCGCCCCGCGACCACCGCGTGCTGCAGGGTGTACAACCAGGCGCCGTTGGTCCAGCCAGGAATGCTGGAGTTCCACGCGCCGACATAGAGCCGATCGTCGTAGAGGTAGATGCTGAATCCGCTGGAGCTGGAGCCCGACTCGAACAGCGGCATGGCAACGGACGCTCCGCTGGTGGTTCCACCATTGGACCCGTTGGGGTTGTACCGCGTGGGGTCGGTCGTGTCGGCCTTGAACCACAGGCTGACCGACGAGAACTGCGGCGCGTTGAGCGAGTCGACAACGGCGCCGTCGGTGTCGCTGAACAGTCGCAACGCGCCGTTTTGTGTGCCGCCCCCCCACTGCGAGGGGTTCGACTCGGTCCAGATCGGCATCACGTTGACCTGTCCGGTGGCGGTTGCGTTGTAGACCGACGACCCGGTAATGATTCCGTCCGCAGAGCCAGCCGAATCCACGAGCACCACGCCAGCGCTGGAGTCAAACCGCCACTCGGCGACCGGGTCGCCCGCCAGCAAAACGCGATCCTCGAGACGCTCGAACCAAGCCCGGCCCGGCGCCCTGCGTCGGTTCGCTAGTTTTTCGCCGTCGGACATGCAGTCTCCTGTTGCTCTCCCACCGACGGCGTACCCACACCCAGCTAGACGCTGGGCCCGCACCTGCTGCGGACAGCGCGACCTTGGCTGCGGGGATCGTGGCGCCGATTCTTCTGTTCCCTAGTCGCACTCAGCGGCGGACAAATGCACCACAAAAGCCCGGCGCTGCTATGCTTCCGCTCACACAATAACTAACCTTGTGTACAACGTCAAATATTTCAACGAGCTGACAGGCGGGGCATCCAACGGCCGACAGGAGCGGCTTGTCGCCGCCGCGCCACTTGATTCCGGGACCCCCCGGCATCATCATCGCCTTCGCCTCAAGCCGCGGCAGGAGCCCATGGCACGTGAGCGTAGACGGAAGGAACAGACGATGGATGCAACCGAATTGGCGCAGTGCTTGCGGTCGCGCAGCATTTCGGCGGTGGAGGCGGCTCGCGACGCGATCTGCCGCATAGAGCGCCTCAACCCGTCAATTAACGCAGTCGTCACGCCACTGTTTGAAGAAGCGTTAGAACAGGCAGAGCAACGCGATCGACAGGCGCAGCAAGAAGATTGGCAAGGGCCGCTGCACGGGGTCCCATTACTGATTAAAGACCTGTTCGACTTAAAGGCCGGCGTCCGCAGCACGTTTGGATGCCGCGCGACGTCCGAGGTTGTCGCTCAAGAGACGTCCGCCCACGTCGAGCGTCTCGAGCAGGCGGGCGCCGTTGTGCTAGGCAAGACCAACACGCCGGAGTTTGGTCACAAGGGGGTCACCGATAATCTGCTGTTCGGCCCTACGTCGACGCCGTTTGATCTGACCCGCAACGCGGGGGGATCGTCGGGGGGGAGCGCCGCCGCTGTAGCGAGTGGCATGGTTCCCCTGGCCCAGGGTTCCGACGCCGGCGGATCGATACGGATCCCCGCCGCGTGGTGTGGGGTGGTTGGATTCAAGGCCACCTACGGACGCATTCCCAACTCGGGCGGCGCGAACGCCTTCGGCGCCGCCGCACCCTTTGTGCACACGGGCGCGTTAACCTCAACCGTACGCGACGCCGCGTTGATGACCCAAGTTATGGCTGGCCCCCACCACGCGGACCCGTTCAGCTTTCCGGACAACGGAATGAACCTGCCGGCAGCGCTCCAATCCGACCCATCAAGGCTCCGCATTGCCTTCAGCCCCGACATGGGGGTGTTTGCCGTCGACAGTGAAGTGCGACGGTCAGTTGAGCACTGTGTCGGCGCCCTCGCTGACTCGGGCCTCCGTATCGAGTCCCCAGAGTTTCATCTTCCTCTCAATCAAGACGAGCTCGCAGGCTTATGGGTCCGACAAGTGGGGCTGGTCTATCTTGAGATGTTCGACTCGATGGCCGCCACAGGGCCCGACCTCCTGAAAGAACGGCCCCAAGACATTCCACAACAGATACACGACATGGTGGACGCCGCTCGCCGGGTCTCCGCCCTCGAAGCGCGGCGCGACCAGCAGCTAAGGTCGTTGGTTTGGCGATCAGTTCAAGAGCTGATGACTGACTACGATATCCTGCTTACTCCAACTCTGGGCGCCTTGCCAGTGACGAACGCCACGGATGGACAGAGCCTCGGCCCGGCCACGGTCGCCGGCAGACCGGTCGAGCGGTCGATCGGCTGGTGCCTCACCCACCCCTTCAACTTTACCGGCCACCCGGCGGCGTCGGTCCCTGCGGGTCTGTCCGCTTCGGGCCTGCCGGTTGGCATCCAGGTTGTGGGCCGGCGTTTTGCCGACGAGCAGGTGATAAGCGTCTGCCGCCGAACTGAGCAAGTGCATCCGTGGTCTGAGACCCTCAACGCTATGCGGAAGCGACTCCTGAATGCCGCGCCCACCCCCTCGGCAATCGGAGGAACGCAGCATGAGTGAGGAATCCGCCCTGCGGCCCGGACCGTGGCGACTGCTCGTCGTCGGCATTCTAGTGTTTGGCGTCATCGCCGGGGCAGTGCTGCTCAACCGCCCGCACGAAGCCGGACCAGAGGATCCCCTCCCTGTGGCCGACGTCGACGCCGCGTCCCCTAATATCGCAACGCCCGAGATCGCGTTCACTGACGTTACCGAGTCTAGCGGCATCGATTTCATTCACCGCGGCGGCGCAACGGGCGAGAAAATGCTGCCCGAGTCGGGCGGCTCCGGTTGCGCTTGGATCGACTACGACAACGACGGCGACCCCGACCTGCTGCTCATCAGCGGCAAACCCTGGCCGTGGGAAGAAGCGGACGGTGAACAACCCACCGCCAGCACGCTCCGCCTGTACCAAAACAACCGCGGCGTCTTCACCGATGTGACCGGCGACGCCAACCTAACTGCCGATTTCTACGGCCAGGGCGTCGCGGTCGGTGACTACGACGCCGACGGCGACGATGACCTCTACATCACCGCCGTGGGCCCCGACCACCTGTACCGGAATGACGACGGCTCCTTCACCGACGTCAGCCTCGAGAGCGGCGCAGTGGGACAATCGGACGCGTGGACCACCAGCGCCGGCTTCTTCGACTACGACCACGACGGCGACCTCGACCTGTTTGTCTGCAGCTACGTCAACTGGAGCCGAGAACGCGACCAGGCGGCCGGGCTCCGCGTGCCGGGGACCGGCCTCTCGTACGCCCACCCGTCTAACTTCGATGGCGTCAACAATTTCCTGTACCGCAACGACTCGGGAGAGTTCACCGACGTTTCCGCCGAAGCGGGCATCCAGGTCACCGATCCAGAAACCGGCGCGCCGCTCGGCAAGGCATTGGCGGTCACCTTCGTCGATTTTGACAACGACGGCTGGCTCGACGTGTTCGTCGCGAACGACACCGTTCGGCACTTCCTGTTCCGCAACCAAGAAGGCGTCTTCACAGAAGTTGGCCAGCAGCGCGGGTTCGCGGTGAACGCCCAGGGTGTCACGACCAGCGGGATGGGGATCGACGCCGCGTGGCCCTACAACGACGAGCGACTGGCGGTCGCGGTCTCGAACTTCGCCGGCGAGATGACCGAGCTCTTCGTCACTCCAGACGGGGGCGCGGATGCGTACTTCACCGACGACACCATCGGCGCCGGGGTGGGGAGCCCAACGCTGGCGAGCCTCACTTTCGGGCTGTTGTTCGACGACTTCAATCTCGACGGTCGCGTCGACCTGGTGCACGCCAACGGGCACCTCGAAGAGACGATCCGCGCCGTTCAACCGGACCAGTCCTACCAGCAGGCGGCCCAGCTCTTTTGGAACACCGGCGCCGAAGACGGCCCCATCCTCGTCCCGGCGCCGAACGATGGCATAGGAGATCTCGCCAAGCCGATCGTCGGGCGGGCGGTGGCCGCCGCCGACGTTGACGCCGACGGTGATCAAGACCTCATTCTAACTCAGGTCGAAGGACCGCCGCTGCTGCTCCGCAACGATCAGCAGCATGGTGGGCACTGGGTTCGCTGCAAGCTGCACGGGCCGGTGGGTAATCCTCACGGCGTCGGCGCGCGCGTCGAGCTCGTCGCCGGCGGCGTGACGCAGCGAAGAACCGTCATGCCGACTCGTGGCTATCTTTCGCAGTCCGAACCGGTGGCGTTGTTTGGCTTGGGAGGCATCGCCGCCGTTGAGAGCCTCACGGTCACCTGGCCCGACGGCAAGCAGCAGCAGGCAAAGGTGGCACGCGTCGACGCAACCGTCACCGTCCAGCATGACGACGCGTCCTTCGAAATGCTCGCCAACACCGCTATGGCGCAGCTGGAGAACGCGGAGTTCGAGGCCGCCATCGGCACGCTCGAGCGCGCGGTCAGGTTGAAGCCGGATTCGGGTCCGACCCTCCGCAACCTGGCTCGGGCCTACCTGCTTGGCGGCCAACCTTCCGCGGCGGACAGTCAGCTCAACACGCTACCCGGCAGCGAGGCCCGGCCCCCCGCTGCCATCGCGTACCTCCTTGGCCTAGCCGCTAACCGCCTTTCGAAACCCGAAGAGGCGATCAGCCACTTCCGCGACGCGGTGCGGCACGACCGCCAGGAGCCGACGCTGCACTTCCAACTGGCGCTCGCGCTTTCTGCGGTCGGCAAGACCGACGAAGCGCGTGCGGAGCTCGAGAGGACGGCCGAGCTCGACCCGCTGCACGGCGGGGCCCAGTACCAACTGGCCGCGTTCGCACGCAAGTCAGGCGACCGAGACGCTTTCCGCAGCTACATGCGAGACTACCAACGCATCCGCAAGGTGAAGGGCGCGGCCGACGCCTTGGCCCTTGAGGTGTGCCGCTACACTCAGCCGGAGGTCATGCTCACAGACGATGGCCCGGCAAACGATGCCGACGGCGCCCCAGTTCTCTTTGCCTGGGAGGAAGCCGAGGCGGTAGATTTTCCGCCGCTGCTTGCTGCGGCGGTGCTGTCGATGAGCGACAACGGCCGCTACCAGCTTGCCGGCCTGACCAGCCGCTCCGAACCGATCGTGTTTGAATGGGGCCAGGAGAACGGCTACCACGAGCTGCAGCGGGGTGATGCCCTCTTTGATCGGTCGCTGCCTTCCGCCGTGGTCGTCGTTGGAAACGCGATCGTCGACTCGGCGTTGCGGACCCATCAGGCCGCCGATTCGGGTGACTTCAGTGAGATCGCGATAGTCACCCCGCTTGGCGCGCGTCTGCTGCGTTACACGCCCGAGAGCGGATGGCAAGACCTCACCAAAGCGGCCGGGTTGAGCGGCGCGGCCGGGAACGTCGCGGTCTGGTCCGACCTCGACCACGACGGCGACATCGATCTTTGTGTTGGGCGTGCCGACGGACTTACCGCATGGCGAAACAACGGCGACGGGACCTTCGTCGACGCCACCGCGGACTTCGGACTTTCCGACGCCGGGCCGTGCACCGCCCTGACCGCTGTCGATCTGGACGGCGTGAACCTTGGCGTCGACCTGATTCAGCTCGGCGGTGAACGTTCGCGGCTTTATCGCAACCAGTTCGGCGGCACATTTAAGCTCGAACCCCACGCATCCGCGCACTGGCCGGCGGCCGATAAGGTTGTCGCGAACGACTTCAACAACGATGGCCTGCCCGAGGTGGCGTTGCTGTCAGGCGAGGCGGTCACGATTGCCGACGCCTCGGGAAGTGTCGTCCAGACATTGGATTCCAACCTAGACGACGTCCAGGCGGCCATCGCCATCGACGTCGACAACGATGGTCGGCTCGACCTGGCCGCCGCGGGCTCGGCCGACGGCGCCCCCGTGGTCGTGGCGTGGCGGAATCGAGGCGACCGGTTCGAAGAGCAGGGGGGGCGAATCCCGCTGCGCAGCGCCTGCCGCCCCGCCGGACTGCTGGCGCTGGACTTCAGCAACGACGGCTTGACCGACCTCGTTGCCATCGGGATTGACGACGCCGTGTCGATCCAGACGAACTCGACCGACACCGAGAACCAGCAGCTGAAGCTGGCGATACGCTCCTACGCGGGGCACCCGAGTTCGATCGGCGTCCGGGTCCAGGTGCGGCGGAAAGCCTTCGTGACCTCACGCTGGTTGCAGCAGGAATTGCCCATTGAGCTCGGGATCGACTCGCTCGTTGAGGCCGACGCCATCCAGACGCTGTGGCCCAACGGCGTCGCCCGCAACGAGATCGGCCGCCCCCTGACGGGTGGGCCGGTGCGGATCACAATCATCGAATTCGTGCGCACTAGCAGCTGCCCCTTCCTGTACGCCTGGGTCGATGGAGCCTGGCGGTTCGTGACCGACTTGCTGGGAACAGCCCCGTTGAATGTCTCGGTGGCCAGGGGCGTCCCTATGCCGCCCGACCCGGACGAGCTGTACGTGCTGGGCAATGCCGAGGAGTTTACGGACCCGCAGGGCAGTGTGCGGCTGCGCGTCACTTCCGAACTGCGGGAGGCGGTCTACCTGGATCTTGCCCAGCTACTCGCGGTGGACCACCCGGACGGGAGCGAGGTCTTCTCCTACGACCGCGCCACGCCGCGGCCGTCATCCGGCAAGCGTTTCGCGCTGGCGAGCAGCCTCACCCCCGTGCGCCGGGCTGTCGATTCGGGCGGCCAGGACTGCACCGACGCGCTAACGGCGATCGATGAAGCTTATAGCGATCCCGGCCAGCTGCTCCCCTACCCGGCGGTGGGTTTCACCGAACCCCACGCCATTGAGTTCGAATTCGGCGAGCTGGCCGCCGACGATGATCTGCTGCTGGTGCTCACCGGCTGGTTCCGATTCGGCGATTCTTCCACTAACATCGCCGCCTCGCAGCGTCGCGACTTGTCGCCCCTGTGGCCGAGGCTTGAAGTCGCCACGGCCGACGGTGAGTTCCACGTGATTGACGACGCCATCGGATTCCCCGCCGGCAACACCAAAAGTATTGTCTGCGACTTGCGAGGCAAGCTCCCTCCCCACGCCACCCGGTTCAGGCTCTCCACCACTTTCGAGGTTCGATGGGACCAGATTGCGCTGGCTCACGCGTTGCCTGCTCACACGGCTCAAGTGACGCAGATAGACGCGGCCATGGCCGACCTCCAGTGGCACGGGTTTGCGGACCTGCCGCAGCCCACCCTGGATCGACCGCAGACGCCCGACCTGCGGCGCGTGCGGAACCGGCCGCCCTGGCTGACCTCCCTCCAGGGATGGTGCACACGGTACGGCGACATGGTCGAGCTGGTGGCCGAGGCCGACGACCGCCTGGCCATCTTGAACGCTGGGGACGGCGCCACGCTCCATTTTGACACGTCGCACCTGCCTTCACCTCCCCCGGGTATGAAACGCACACTGGCCCTCTACCACCGCGGCTGGATCAAGGAGGAGAACCCCAACTCACTTCCCGACCGCAACGTGGCGCCCTTCCCAGGCAGCGGCCGGGCGTCCGCCGATCCGGAGGAAGATTGGCAGGTTGAGTACAACACCCGCTGGGTGCCTCGCAATCGGTTTGCCCAGCCCCTGCATGACGGGCGTGCCCCTGAGTGAGCTCTTGTCGCTGACCCGCCCGCGATGGAATCGCTTCGGCCTGCCAGCCCCTGCGGAACGCGTCCGGGCGGCCTCCGGCAACCCGAGGTCCCTGCTCGACCCCCGTGCATTTCTGTGCTAGAAAGCGCCGGCAACCAACCTCGCACCCCGAGCCACGCGACCCTCCGATGCCCGAACGCTTCCCCCCGCTCAGCCTCCCGACGCGACTCCTGCACGGCCCCGGCCCGTCACCAGTGGCGCCGTCGGTGCTTGAAGCTCTTGCTATGCCGTGCATTGGCCACATGGACCCCGAGTTCATGCGGGTGATGAACGAGGTCCGCTCGATGCTGCAGGAGGTGTTTCGTACGAAAAACGAGATGACGCTGGCGTGCTCGGGCACCGGCTCGGCCGGCGCTGAGATGCTGATGGACAACCTCGTCGAGCCGGGCGACACCTGCCTGATAGGCGTCAACGGCGTGTTCGGCGGCCGGCTGGCTGACAAGGCGGGCCGCGCCGGCGGCAAGGTAGAAACGATGGACATCGACTGGGGCCTCGCCTTCAATCAGGACGACCTGATCGCCAAGGTCGAAGAGCTCAAGCCCGACCTGCTGGCCGTCGTGCACGCGGAGACTTCTACGGGCGTGCGTCAGCCATTCGACCGGCTGGCCGACGCGGTGCACAAGCACGGCGGGCTCTTGGTGATGGACTGCGTGACATCGTTCGCCGGTCTGCCGGTGGAGATCGACGAGTGGGGCGTCGACGCGGCCTACAGCGGGACCCAGAAATGCCTGTCCTGCCCCCCCGGTCTGGCGCCCGTTACCCTGTCGGAGCGGGCGATGCACAAGGTCAACAATCGGGAGTCGAAGGTCAACTCCTGGTACCTCGACCTGACGCTGGTTGGCAACTACTGGAGCGGCAGCCGTGCGTACCACCACACCGCGCCGGTCAACATGAACTACGCGCTGCACGAGGCGTTGCGTCTGGTGCTCGAAGAAGGGCTGGACGAACGGTTCACCCGACACGAGTCGGCCCACCAGCAGCTCAAGGCCGGGCTGCTTCAGCGGGGCTTCGAGTACGCGTCGGACCCGGACCACTCGCTGCCGATGCTCAACTTGGTCAAGCCGCCCGAAACCATCACCGACGAGGCCGCCGCCCGCAAACAGCTGCTCAACGATCACAACCTAGAGATCGGCGGCGGGCTGGGCGCACTGGCGGGCAAGTGCTGGCGGATCGGGCTGATGGGTCACGGCGCCCGCAGCGAGAATGTGGACGCGATCCTCACGGCAATCGACTCACTCGACTGACGCTCCAGGCCGCGCGGCGGCGTTCTGGTCGCGAACCTCGAGCAGCTGGGCGGCGATGCTGACGGCGATTTCCGCCGGGTTGTTGGAACCTACCGGCAGCCCCACCGGGCACCGGAAGTCCAGCCGCTCGACGCTGCAGCCTGCGTCGACCAGCTCCTTGCGGAGCGTCTTCGCCTTGGCGCGGCTGCCAATCACGCCAACGTAGGGGAAGCTGTAGGGCAGCTGGTAGACCCGCTTGAGAACGGGCAAGTCAGATCTGTGGCCGCGTGTCATGCAGAGCACGAAAGAACTCTTGGGCAGCTCGGCCACCTCGTCGGCGGGCTCCGCGGTTTCAATGACTCGGATCCCGCCGGGGAGCCTGCCAAGCCAATCAGCCCGGGGGTCGATGCAGGTCACGTGACAAGGGAGCGTGGCCAGCAGCGGTGCGAGCGCCTGCGTGACGTGCCCGGCGCCGAAGATCGTTACCGCCCAGTCGGGGCGGTTGCCGACCTCGAAGTACAGCTTCACCCGCCCGCCGCAGGTCATCCCAACATCCGTCCGCAGGCTCCAATCGACCAACAGCGTCCGCTCGGGCCCCGCCAGCAGCTGCTTGGCCAATTCGATCGCCTTGGCCTCGACGCGTCCGCCGCCGACGGTGCCCAGGTCGAGCCCGTGGGACGTCACGATCATCTTGGCGCCCGTGTCCGCGGGGGCAGAGCCGGTCACGTCGACAAGAGTGACCAGCACGAACGCCTCGTTCCCGGAGCAAAGCTCAACGCACCGCTCGTGAAGGCTTCGCAGGCTCATTTGGCCGCCGGTTGGTGGGGGGCGGCGGCGGCCACTGGCGTCGCGAGTTCCGTTATTCTCATCAACAACTCCTCTCCGCTGGCCGGGACCGCCAGCTCGAAGGGCTGCCCCGCTGCCAGGCTGGCAAGCGCGTTGCGCGCCGCGGCCCACACGGCGATGCCCAGCATCAACGGCGGCTCACCAACCGCCTTGCTGCGGCGGATGTTGCAAGTCTGCTTGGGGTTATCAATGAAGTCAACATTGAGTGTCTGCGGCAGGTCCGTGACGTTGGGGATCTTGTACGTGGTGGGGCCGGTTGACAGCAGCCGGCCGGAGTCGTCGTAACGCAGGTCCTCGTTGGTGACCCACCCGACGCCCTGGATAAAAGCGCCGATCACCTGCCCGCGGTCGATCCCCGGGTTGATCATCCGGCCGACGTCCATCAGCAGGTCGGTCCGGTCGTGCACCAGCTCGCCGGTGAAGCGGTCGATCGTGACCTCAGCCACCGCGGCGCCCGTGGTGAAGTAGTAGAAGGGGTTGCCGCGTCCGGTCTCGCGGTTGTAGTCGACCCCGGGCGTGGCGAAGAACCCGCGGGCGCCCAGGTCCACACGCTCCCGCCGGGCCCTGCTGCAGAACTCGCCGAACTCGACGGCGCGGGTCGGGTCGGCGTCGCGATCGTCCCGCACAAAACCGTTCTCGAGCACGACGTGCTCGGGGGCCGGCGTCAGCCCGCGTGGTTCGCTTCCGAATAGCTGCGCGGCGTACTCCTGCATGCGGCGTTTGATCTGACGGCACGCGTCCAGTGCCGCCGCCCCGTTGAGGTCCGCCCCCGCGCTGGCGGCCGTTGGCGACGCGTTGTTGCTCTTCTCGGTCGAGCTCGGCATCACCCGCACCCGCCCCGGGTGCAAGCCAAACTCGTCCGCGACCAGCTGCTTGATCTTGGTGTTCAGCCCCTGGCCCATCTCGGTGCCGCCGGTCGAAACCTGCACCGTGCCGTCGGTGTAGACGTTGACCAGCGCGTTGGCCTGATTCAGAAACTTGGTCGTGAACGAGATGCCAAACTTCACCGCCGTGACCGCCAGCCCCTTCACGTGGGTGGAGCTCCCGGCGTTGAAGTCGCTGATCCTTCGACTCCGGGCGCGGTAGTCGGAGCTGGTTTCAAGTTGATCGAAGATTTCTTCCAGCACGTGCTCGCGGACGATCTGGCCGTACTGAGTGAGCTGCTGATCGGGGTCGCCGTCTCGGTAGAGGTTCTTGCGGCGGAGGTCCCAGGCGTCGCTGCCGGACTGTTCCGACAGCTCCTGAAGAGCGTTCTCGATTACCGCGATCGCTTGCGGGCCCCCAAACCCGCGGAACGCGGTGTTGGGGGGCAGGTTGGTGCGGCACACCTTGCCCACGACGCGCATCCGCGGGATGTGGTACGCGTTCTCGGCGTGGAGCATGCTCCGCTCCATCACCGAAGTCGACAAGTCGGCAAAGGCCCCGCCGTTGGAGTAGTAGTTGATCTCGGCCGCCACCAACCGGCCCGCCTCGTCGCACGCGACCCGGTAGTCGGTCTGGTAGCGGTGGCGCTTGCCGGTGATATTCATGTCATCGTCGCGCGGCAGCACGACCCGCGCCGGCCGGCCGGCGCGGTGCGCCACGAGCGCCGCCATCACGGCGGCCAGGGCGGACTGCGTCTCCTTGCCCCCAAACGCGCCGCCCATCCGCTGACACTCGCAGACCACCTCGTGGAATCCGAGCCCCAGCGCCTCGGCCACGACGGCCTGCGTCTCGGTCGGGTTCTGCGTGGAAGACGACACGTGCATCGTGCCGGCCTCGCCGGGCGTGGCGAGGGCCGACTGCGTCTCGAAGTAGAACTGCTCCTGGCCGTTGCTGTGGAACCGGCCCTCCGCCACGTGCGCCGCTCCGCGAAACGCCGCGGCGAACTCGTGATCATCCTCCGCGAGCAGGCTGGTCATCCGCCGCTCGGGGCCGATAAACGACTGCGCTTCGATCGCCTGGTCGATGGTGAGAATCGGTCTTCGCTCTTCGCACTCAACGGTGACGAGGGATTTCGCGTCGGCGGCCGCCGACGCGGTCTCGGCTCCGATCACCACGACCGGCTGCCCGAGGAAGGCGACTTCGCCGTCGGCCAGAAAAAACTCGTCCGGGATGATGGGCCCAAACTGCCGGGAGCCGAGTAGGTCGTCGGCAGTCAGCACGCACACGACGCCCGGCGCCGCCTTTGCGGCCGTCGTGTCGACTGACTTAATCTTGCCACTCGCAACCGGCGCCCCCACGAACGACACGCACAGCTCGCCCGCCAGGCGGGGCAGGTCGTCTAGGTACCGGGCGCCGCCGGTGACGTGGCCCTCGGCCGACTCGTGCGGGAGTGACTGGCCTACAGCGGTCATGGCTAGGCAGTTTGAGAGGAGGGTTGATCGGTTGCGGTGAGGTCGTAGTAGCACTTGGCAAACAGGTTCTCTACCAACTGCTGCCGGTACACGGCGCTGCCGCGGACGTCGGTGATGGGCGTCACCTCACCGCGGGCGAGACGCCCCGCCTGCCGCATCAATTCGAGTGAGAGTGGCTTCCCCTGCAGCACCGCCTCCGCTTGCTTTGCCCGCACTACAACCGGCCCGACGCCGCCGAGCGCAACGCGGGCCGAGCGGATCGCGTCGCCCTGCGCCTCGATCCAGAAGGCGGCCGTTACGGTGCTGATGTCCATGTCGCGGCGTTTGGAAACCTTGTACAGCCTCAGCCGCGTGTCTGAACAGGGCAGGGGGGTGCGAATGCTCTCGATCACCTCATCGTCCCGCAGGTCAAGCTTCTTGTAGCCCAGGTAGAAGTCCTCGATCGCCACCTCGCGGACGCCCTGCTTGCTTGCCAGCCGCAGCACAGCGCCGGCGACCATGTGCAGCGGGATCGAGTCCGCGATCGGCGAGGCGTTTGCTAGGTTGCCGCCGAGCG